GTACTGAGCGTCCTGTCAAAGGAGTTAAGATTGGATAAGGGGATTTGGTAGTTTCTCACCAGAATTTAAACACCTTGATTAGTTCACAGCTCAATCTCTTAAATGGAAGGGAATACAAGTTTATACAACCTGTCCTCACGGTATTACCTTACCCCGACTGAATGTGCTCTGGAGTTGATGATGCTCTTTTTCCAGTCAAGTGACGTGCAAATGTACAGAAGTCCTTTTCAGAAAGTAGGGTTGTTATTGTTTTGTTTTTGTTTTCATTCTGAAGGTGCTCCTGAAAGGTAGTGGCAGTCAAATGAAGTCCTTCCTTTTCCCCCCATGGAGTTGTGTGCTGTTGGTGGTGCATGACCCATGTCCAGCAAAATGGTGCTGGTGTTTGGAAGAAAGCCAGTTTTTCTGGTTTGCTTCCTCAGCGTTGGAGCTGTCCCACTGGGTCCTGGTCTGTGCAGAGTAACTTATTCCTAACTGATGCTGGAGTATATTGGGATTCCAAATAGTTAGGTGTGGAGAGGGTGAAACAGCCATCGTTCCAGTTTTTTGTTGCTCACTGTTTCTTGGTGGAAGGAGCACCTGTGTGAGTAGGACTGCAGTTCAACATAGTTGAATAGCCCACTGATAGGCTCACTTATGAGGGATGGATAACTTGGGGCCTGGAGAGCACTCCATGTGAGTCATCACCTGTAGTTAAGTCAAGAGGCTAGCATTCAGAAAAGATTTACCAGGATGTTGCCAGGATTGGATGGTTTGAGCTTTAGAGATGGGCTGAATAGGCTAGGACTATTTTCCTTGGAGTGTTGGAGACTTGAGGGCTGACCTTATAGAGGTTTATAAAATCATGATGGGCATGGATAGAGTGAATAGCCAAGGTATTTTCCCCAGGGTAGGGGAGACCAAAACTGGAGGGCATAGGTTTAAGGGTGAGTAGGGAAAGATTTAAAAGGGATCTAGGGGCAACTTTTTCACACAGAGAGTTGCACATGTATGGAATGAGCTGCCATAGGAAGTGGTGGAGGCTGGTACAATTACAACATTTAAAATGCATCTGGATGGGTACATGAATAGGAAGGGTTTGGGGGGATATGGACCAAGTGTTGGCAAATGGGACTAGATTAATTTAGGATATCTGATTGGCATGGAAGAGTTGAACCGAAGATGCTGTTTCCGTGCTATACGGTTTGTCCTCTTTAGAAGTGAAGGCTAATGGGAGCCTTATTAAAGTTGTGCAAAGTTAGAAGGGGCTTTGATGGAAAATAGGGTGAAACCCTTTCCTCTGACAGAAGAGTCAATAATAGACATTACTTCAAGGTAACTGACAGAACAACCAGGGGAGATAAAATTTTATGATGCTATGACTTATGATCTGGAATTCACTCTGTAAAATATGGAAACATAGAGATTAGGAGCAGGAGAAGGCTATTCTGCCCTTCAAGCCTGCTCCACCATTCAATATGATCATGGCTGATCATTCAACTCAATGCCTGTTCCCACTTTCCCCATACCCTTTGATCCCCTTAACCCTAAGTGCTATATCCAACTGCTTGAAATTAAGAGTGTTGGAATCAGATTTAAGAGTAATGTTGGAGAGACAGATGTTGAGTTATTCACCGTGGAAGCACCAGGTAAGATGCTCGGAATGCTGCAGCAAATAACTCGCCTCCTGTTTCCCCAATGTGTATCCACCAGTTGCAAAGCGCTAACAGGATTCTGATGGAGAAAGCTCCATTATTAAGACCAATTGGCAGCTGTTTAAAGCTGTCGCTGGCACAATGGGCAGAATGGCCTTGTGTGTTGTGAGATCCCGGGAGCTGTGCCAGGGAGTAAACTAGGGGAGCGTGTGCAGGGAGTGGGTCAGGGATGCCTGGCACCTGCAGAGAGAAAGCAGCCAGCTCGTCAATGAATATTTCCATTGTGGTCATGACACACCATCAATGCCAGAGAGAAAAGCCCCATTTCCCCAGCACACAGCAACAATAAATCGCTGTCAAACACTTTCCTCACACAGGGTGGTCGTGCCTTTAAGAAGACTAGCTCCTTATCTGATGTCATCAAGTTTAAAGGCGAATGACCGTTTTTTCAGCCATAATGTTTATTCATATGAAGCACTCTGATAATCAGCTGAATGTCTGGGTCAGGACAAGGTTATAAATTATAAATATTAAAGAGCTCGCTTTAATTTGCATCATTTTCAGAGCAGTTATTAAGATATTATTTGGGTGTTTTACTTTGTTTTTTTAACAATCTCCACATTTTCCTTCCTGACATCCGATTCCTATAGACAGGCTAACGATGTATTAAAAATGAACTCTTTCTAACTTATTCGTTCAGTTAGTTCTTATTTGTAATATTTTCATTTTTAAAACTTTCTCTCAATCATCTTTCCTCTTCTGCTGAAGGTACCGTGTGGGACTGGGGAAGGCTTTATCACCTTCTGGTATCTCAAACCACAGACCATCACCGAATTATTGCACTGCAGAGAAAGACCATTCGGTCCTACTTTTACATGTTACCCAGGCGGTGTCCAGTGGAGGGCATTCAACCATAAAAGGCATAACAGCAACAAGAAATTGCATTTAGATTGCGTCATTAATAAAATAAATTGTTCCAAGCCGCTTCAAGTAAAAGTTTGATACAGAGACATTTAAGATCTTAGAGATTGATGACCAAACAGCTTGGCCAAGGAAGTCTATGCTTTAAGGTGTGTTTTATTGGTTAAGAGACAGACAGAGAAGTTTGGGGAGAGAATTCCAGAGTTTGTGGCCAAACAAATAAAGACACAGCAGCTGGTGGTGGAGTGATTAAAATTGGGGATGTGCAAAAGGTATTGGAGGAGCACAGAGATCTTGTAGGATTGTGGAGTCTGGGAACTGAAAGACTTTGGGGGAGGGGTGATCATGTTGCTGGCAAGTCAATAAGGGACTTTGGAAACAAGGTTGAGAATTATAGAACTGGGCTGGTGTCTGGTGTAGGTGATCGGTGAATTACACTGGGTGAGAGTTCGGGTAGGGGCACCTGGGTTTTGGATAGCCCAGTGAGTGAGCAGGAGCGGTTCTCCTCTGTCCCAGACCGTGAAGCCAGTTAACCGGAGCTCACTCAGCATCGGGTAGGGGCCGCTATCCGCGCCCTGAAGTAATCACCTTTTCATATTTCAGTCTGTGTGTGTGGTGTAAGATTCCCTAGTCAAGAATATTGATGAGTGATCAACAAGTAACCATGATTGTGTCCAATAGTGGGTGGGAAAGTGCAGTGCAGGTTGCTGCTTTCTCTTTCCCTTTCCCATGTTCTCATGTGTGTGAATGTGTCTGTGTGTGTGTGTGTGTCTGTGTCTGTGAGTGTGAATGTGTGCGTATGTGTGTGTGTGTGTGTGTAGTTGATTCTGGTTTTGCATCTCCTCCACTCTTCTTTCTCGCCCATGTGGAGATGGACGTGGTTAAGGATAGTAACAGTGTTGAGCTCCACTTTACTGTCCCTGGGTAACGTGATTACATTGGCTTTGATTCTGTGCTGTATGAATTCACTCGGCCCAATGGATTCTGTTGGAATTATACTGGAATTCTGATCCTTACCCCACTGTGACTTCTGCAGGTTGCAATGGAAAGAGTGGGGTTTACCGACTACTGCGAAGAGAGAAAGGACACCCTTCAGACAAAGCTTTAGTTTGTGTCCTGACCGGACGTTCAAAGGGATTGGAAAGGAGTTTTGTTGTTGTTGTTGAGACATCTAGATCAAAGGCTAAGGTTCGGAGAGCAGGACATCACCGTGGCTGGCAGGATAGATACAAGAAGTAATGATTAGGTGATACAAAGCTTGGATTTTAAAAGCCTGGTGACGGTGAAAGTCAGGGGAGACCGAGGGAGTTGTGGAGTTTCTCAAGGTCCTGGCAAAGGTTGAGCTGGAGCAGCAGACAGTCACTGCCTCGTGTTCTTTCTTTGATTCGGGAGTACTCCTGTGGTCCTCAAAGGGTTAATGTCGATGCCGTTGTGAAACCTAAGCGCCTGCAAAAAGGGAACAAACCATCCTGAAGGTTAGAGAGGGAGAGTGATTCACACTGGTGAAGAGAATAACGAGCACAGAAGAGGCTAAACGATCGCAACTCTTTGCTGTTTGCCTTGACATCAACGGCATCAGGTCTGACCCGTTGCGCTGTGGCTGTGTCCGGAGTGTTACAAACCATTTACTGCTGTGAACTGATGTTTACACGCCTGACTTATCACAGAGCATGCTTAACGGACAGGACACTCAACTAGCTCCACTTGAAAATGAACCTCAGGAAATAAATTTGAGATTAGGGACTGAGGCCGTAAAATAGAGGAGAGCCATTATATTTTTCTTTATTTACTTTCAAAGGAAGAGCAAGGTAAGTAACAGTCTTTAAATTTCCAAAAGCAATGTTGATGCTGCGGTTTCAATGAAAGATCTTTTGGGGCAAATATTTGCGACATTAGTTGAAATGTGCTTAAGTCCTCTTCTAGTCAATGTCATAACTGGTTGAAAAAGATACGTTGTCACTGGTCTGATGTTACGTTTGAAGTTTTTCTTAACACGTATGCTTACTTTCATCATTTTGCGCGTAATTCGGCACCCCCAGCTGATTTAACGCTGTCCTTCTGAAGTCTGGAATTCATCCCTAAATTGAATTGACGGGAGTTCCGCTCGTATCTACAGCAGCGAGGGGCCTACATCTATGCTTCGACAATGTAGCAAATCCCTAGTGTTCACTGCACAATGCAACCCTTACTGTAGCATTGACTTGACTGGACTGAACCTTGGAGAAGGACAACTTGATTCTATCAGACTGCCAATTTAGTTTCCAATTGCCCTTATAATCTCTAAAGTAATACTCACCCAATGTCAATTAGAGTTAAATGGAGGCGATTCTGAAAACATGCTTGAAAAGCTTGTCCCATTTATTCGGGCTCTGCATGTTTTTGACTTTGTGGGCTGCGTTGATGTGGATAGTGGACTCTGAGCAGACCATATACAAAAGTTTAAATCCCCCTTCCTCTTTATTTCTACCTATCTCAAGTTGGTCAAGGTGACAGATCCTGGAGCTCTGATATTGTGGATTCATTCAAGAATTGGGGGGGATCGTTCCTGCAAACAGCTCTTTCCAGATACACTTAATTTAGTACACGCCCCATAAAACAGGAACACAAGTGTCATTGCCTGGTCTGTGAGGGATAATGCACTGAAGCCGGAGACCGCGTGAGGTTTTGAGATGTACCCAGACAACGGTGCTTCATCCATTAACCTAGACTGGATACAAACCTTAGGACCCCAGAGGTGAAAGGGCAATATGAACGCAAAAGATTGCCTGTGACTGTATGACTGAGCAGTAATAATTCCTGTTTGTTTAAATCTTTCTCATTTTAAATTGGTTGCGAATCACTTGGGATCGTCTTGGAGTGTGGATTGCAATCCAAGTGGACTAGCTACAGTTAGTCTGTCTGAGACTTAGTTCCATTGAAGTTAATTTAAAATTTTGGAGCAGATTAAAACGCTGCCCAGTTTGTGTTCCCGTCTGTGTGTAATTTGAGACCCATTGTCTTCTGGTTATATTATTGAGAATCAACTGATTAGCCTCGTGATGGCTTTCACTGAATGAATGGAAACTGTAAGGGTCATTGTTAAAGGCCTCTCATGGCTACAGGCACCAATATTGGGATCAACAAAAAATTCCGAGTAACTGGGGAGGACATTAAAATAACAAATAAGCTCTCCCATAGCTCAGTGGGTAAGGGCACCGCCCAGTCTGGCGGGGAGTTGCACCGATCAGGAAAGATCCAAATTGGAAGCTTCAGTTGGGAGAGCTGTGAGCGGCATGGTAATGAGCCTGAGCTGCCTGAAAATACAGTGTGGCAAAATTCAACCAGGTTTCCCTGAAAGCCACCCAGTGAGCTGTGTGTGTATACAACTGATGAAGACAACATTGTGGCCATCTGCGATGTCCAATGCAATGGAATAGCTTTTTATGTGATTGCTGCCTGGATACTGACAGAAGAGTAGCCATTTTGCAGAGTGATCCTGCTGCAATGTACCAGCTTCAGTCAGTGCTTTAGTAGGGGGTGGGGTGTTGGAGAAGGGAAAGTTGGTGATAATGATGCTAATGAACTGTGCCGTAGTGCTACATCATTCGGGATTCTTGACGTTGAGCGTAATTTCTCTCTCACTACGGAACAGGAAGGGTCACGGTGAACCTTCACAAAACACAGTTTGGAGAGAGGTGTTTCAATACCTCATGTTTAGCGTTGGCAATTCTAACTCAGTTGGTTCAAAAAAGTAACGTATCATATCAATGTCTAATTAAACTGACTTTGTTTCACACTCTGCAAATTTAAATGGCTGTTTTCTCTAAAATGACAGCTGTGCGGCTGTTGAGAATAATTTTAAGGTGTTGCTGCCTTTTGACTGCCTCCAACCCATGTGCAGCAGCCTGGTGATGCATTGGCCTTTGACCCCAGCTATTGCAGCCTATAGAACCTCACATTTAATAATTTAGGGGGAAAAAATAACCCTGGCCTTTTCTTTCTGAGACTTTACAATCCTCCAGGATTGTCCTACAGTCTTCAAGAATTAGCATTGAAGATCTGGGATAAGGCCATGGGCCAAAACTCGTGAGAAAAAGTGTAAAGGCATCAGAAAAAATTGTTTTTGTAACTTTTCTTAATCATTTGTTTACTAATTACAGAAATATTGGTAAGGAAAAGTAACATATTTGGTTGTAGAGGATCGTTCGAAGAGCTCATGATGAAAATTCCAGGGGTACTTTCAGCCAGAGTATAAACCTGCCTTCCTTAGATTACACACTGAATGCTTGCCCAGGACCTTGAACTCAACAAAACTTTACGATTTGAGGTTTTGGTAGAATAGGAGCCAGTGAAGGTCAGTGAACATTGTGGGTGGTGGGTGAACGGGCTTTGTGAGAATTTCAGATGGGCCCAGAATTCCGAAGGGATTTAAATTTCAGACATACCTTCAACCACAATGAAGTGATCAAACACTAAAACAGACAAAAGCCATTGGTCTGCTGAATGTCTTTACCCAGGAGATGCATTTGTGCACAAACACACGCATGCACACCAATGTAGGTGCATGCAAAGACCACGTATACATCCACTCTCACCCCCAGCTCTTTGAACAGCCTGTAAAGCAGGCTGTGATTTTGTGCATTCAGCTGAAGCTGCTAATATACTATTGTTGTAGGGGAGCTTTCTTTGCTTATGTTATTGTCAGTCCTGATGTCTGCAATTGTGTGCATGCCATTTTACGGAAAGCCAATAAATTGCTGCCAACAGACACTTGGTGTTCAAGTTTCATGTCAGCCTTGATTTAAAAACCCTTATAGCCCTCTTCAGATACAGCATAGTGTTGCCTCCCCATCCCCCTTCGATCTATCTAACCGGTTGTAATATCAGTTCTTCTGACCCATCTGGAGCCCCCACCCCGTTCATCTCCCCAAACACAACTGCAACAACCTGTGTCTTGTGCCTGCTATTACCAAACTTTCTAGCCATCCATGACTGCCTCCTTTCCATCCATGTTCCCCGTAACAATTTCTTCTCTGAGCCTCTTTGGCCCCCAGGCTGGGGAAGTACATAGAGTCATACAGCAAGGAAACGGACCCTTTGGTCCAACTTGTCTACGTTGACCATAGAATCCCTACTGTACAGAAGCATGCCATTCAGCCCATCACGTGCGCACCAACCCTCCAAAGAGCATTCCATCTTAAACCCACCCCCACAAAACCATATCCCTGTGACCCTGCATTTCCCATAGCTAATTCAGAGTCTACACATCCTTGGACATTATGGGCAATTTAGCATTGCCTGCCAACCCACCTCACCTCACCTGCTTATCTTTGGATTGTGGGAGGAAACCGGAGCACCTGGAGGAAACCCACACAGACACAGGGAGAACATGGAAACTCCACACAGACAGTCAGCCAAGGCTGGAATTGAACCCCAGTCCCTGGTGCTGTGAGGCAGCAGTGCTAACCACTGAGCCACCGTACCATCCCATGTTCCCATGTTCCCAACTTAACTAGTCCTACTTGCCTGCATTTGGCAAGCGGATGAAATTGGTTGCTACTTAAAGGAAATGCAGGTGTTGCTGAAGGGAACTGCAAGGCAGTTACTCAATCATGGTGCTATAGTAAAGAACAACAACAACTGGGATTTATTTGGCACCCTTGATAAAGACAAGAAAGTACAAAAATATTTCACAAAGATGTAATTAGAAAAGTGTATGGAGGGCTGAAAGGGAATCCAGCGGAAGGGAGCAATCAAAGGCTTGATGAGAAAAATGATTTTTAAGGTGAAGAAGGAAGTGAAAAATCAAAGGGGATTAGAGAGGGAATGTAACTGTAAGTGAGCCATTAATGGTGGAGTAACGGGAAGGGGGAGTGAAGCAAACAAGTGGGCTGGGTTTGACCCCAGTTTGTGCTGTTAGTTCATTTCAACAAGAGATAGTATGGATGTGTAAATGACCTCGGTGAAACAAGGTAGAGATGGAATAAATCCACCGGCATCCTTGTTCCATTTGAGCTGTTGTTTATCCACTGACAGACCAGAAGCATAAACTCTGGTTGGGAGTTTAGATGGATCCCATGGAAGTGACATGGAGCATGTGTTCTGAAACCTCTGTGCTTTTTCTTCCCACTCTCACTGTAAATTTGTGATAATTTATGCTGAATGGAAATTGACTTATCTCTTGACAAATTCTCCAGAACTGTTGGGGCTGTAGAGCATAGGTCCATACAAATAAAGGAGGAAAAAAGACATTTCCATTTGCGGTTTAAAGCTATTTTCTGAGTATTTCATTTGGGGATTCTTTTTTTCTCCCAGCTGTTCAATAAACTTTGTGCCATATGCTTTTTGTATAAATTTTGTCCAAGGCACCATTGCTGCCATTAATGAGCTTCCCGTTGGGAATTCTCCTGTCTAGTTATTGGGAATCTGCAAACATAGTAAATTGACAAAAGATCAGCTGGTCCATCAAAACTGCCGCACACTCACGATGGCCAGATCCTCATCCCCAATTGCCCCTTGCTCCATTCCAGCAACTTGCCCGTTCCTGAGTTATCTTCATCACTGGGACAGGCAACAAAAAATTCCATAAGTCATTAGAGTCATAGAGATGTACAGCACAGAAACAGGCCCTTCGGTCCAACTCATCCATGCCGACCAGATATCCTAGACTGATGTAATCCCATTTGCTAGCATTTGGCTTTTTCTCATTTATATCAATGATTTGGATGTGAATATAGGAGGTATGGTTAGTGAGTTTGCAGATGACAATTTGGAGGTGTAGTGCACAGCGAAAGAGGTTACCTCAGAATACAATGGGACCTTGATCAGATGAGCAAATGGGCTGAGGAGTGGCAAATAGCATTTAATTTAAATAAATGTGAGATACTCCATTTTGGCTAGGCAAATCAGCGCAGGACTTATATAGTTAATTGTAAGGTCCTGGGGTGTGCTGCTGTCCAAAGAGATTTTGGGGTGCAGGTTCATAGTTCCTTGAAAGTGGAGTCACAAGTAGACAGGGTCGTGAAAGATATTCTGGAAGATACCTCCTATGTAACTGAGCCCAGTTTAAGTGTGAGACCTTTGAAGGGTTGGCAAAAGAATTCAAGATTGCTGAAGTCTCTGTCCACCCTAGGTCTGACCATCTCTTCCTTTGGCTTCAACTCTAAACAAGACCATGGCAGTAAGCACAATTACTTAATTATCCTTTTAATCTGATCAGTTCTTCAGAAGGTCACAAATCTCAGCAAACCATGATTGACATGAGACTGCCAAAAATCTAACCACGTATTCGTACTTTCAATGCCCACTGACTGCCTTCTGTTTCTCAGGTGCCAATGCCTCTGTCTTCCCAGTTTCCAGGTCAGCAGAGAAGCAGCCGAATGGATACCTGTTTCCCCTATCATCTGAAAATTTGGCCGTTCCAGGGTTGGATCCAGTGATCTTTGGCCTCAAGCCTGTACACTATGCTTTTTGTTCCTGTCATTTTAATGGATTACTTTTTCAGCTTGACACCTTCAGACTTGGAAAGGTTGCTAATGAGCTAGGATGCCATTTGAAGGCTCCCAGCATAGTGTTCCTGGAAACTTGCTCTGGGATCTTGCTGTGTGCACATTGCATACATTACGACGGTGTCTGCAATGCAAAAGTACCTCATTGACTAGAAAGCACTTGGGACATTCTGAGCTCATGAAAATTGCTACTGAAATGCAAGTTAGTTTCTTTATGTTGTGTGCCCATGTTCAAGTTCAATTTGAAAATCCTTGTAATCACCGTCTGACCTTCTGTGTATCCATTGTTGCCTTGAGTGTCCTTTTTACCATACGCAGTGTTCCCCCATCTGGTGCCTTTGTTAACAGAGAGATAGAACAATAAACAGGCAGGTGACAATAAACATCACTGCAATTAACATTAGGTAGAGCCAGCTCGAATTTAGGGAGAATATCGAGATCTTGGAGAAGGTGCAGAGGAGTTTTACTAAAATGTTATGAGTGATTTGTGGTGGTGTTTATATGGAGAAACTATGATTGTTCTCTGTGGAGGTTGAAAGAATATTTACTGGAAGTGTTTAGAATCCTGAAGATATTTGACAGAGTAAACAAGGAGAAATTGTTCCTTGTTCTGACAGGGTCAGTAATTAGAAGATACCAGTTTAAAATCATTGACTAAAGAAAATACATGACAGGAAGAATTATTTTATAACAGTGGGTTGTGATCCAGAATGTTCTGCTTTGTAAGGGAGACGAAACATTTTCAATAGCAATTTTCAAAAAGGAAAATAGATAAATACTTGAAAGGAAAATATTTACAGGGTCGTGTTGATAAAGCAATGGAGCATGATTAATTTCTCAAAGAGCTGGCACAAATTCAGTAGCCCAACTGGCCAACTTCTGTGCTATGAATCATTCTGTGGATGTACTGAAAACAAAAAATGCTGGAAATCACTGCAGGTCAGGCAGCATCTGTGGGGAGAGAGCAAGCTAATGTTTCCAGTCTACACAGTGGTTCATCAGTACAGATTCCAGCATCTGCAGTAATTTGCTCTTACATTCTATGAATGTACTGCACTATCCTTTTATACAAATAAGAGCTTGAGTTAATATAACATTTTTATTGGTAAAAGGTCTAAATTGCACTTTACAGGTGTGTTCCCTAACGAAAATAAGGCTTGTGTGATAAATTGCCGTCCCTTTTAATTGTTCCCTTGCCTTTTAATTTTCACTGATCTGTAATTTTCCACCCCTAGGGTGCTCTGTATATTAAATCAGTTTACACCTGGACCTGAGAATAGTGGTTGCAGGAAATCCGAATGCTGTTTGGTGCATTGCCATTCAGGTGCAATTAGCCACACCTCATAACCTTTCAGACTTCACTTGGAGCAGAGCTTTTCAGGGAATTAGCCCCTAACTAACCTGTTAACTAAGTATTCATGAACATTTCATTACGAACTGCTATATCCAACAGTTTAATTGGTTTCTGTTTCTCATGGAGTGCTTCCCAACTGATTCTGCTTGTTATCTCCACTTGCCTGATGTACAAGTGAAGAAATGTTTCCACCTTTTGGCTACTGGACTGTTACCTATTTCCAGAAGCTGGATGAGAGCTCCTAATGACATGAATCGTGTCAGAGGGGAAATAATTTTTTCTCTGATCGCTTTCTGACAGTGACTGCAGTAAAGTTCATTGGGAATCTTAGCCAAGAATACAGTTCAATGGAGGTGTGATGCCTCAAAGTTGTGTTACCTGCAAGACTTTTGCTGTTTTAATCCCAGTGTGTGAAAATCTGAAAACAGGTATGTTGGGAGGAACATGAAAATCTGTGCATAGATTGTAGTGTGTTTATAAAGTGGTTATTTCTTTGTCTGAAATAAAGAAATCTCTTTTATGGAATACTGTGAACAGTTTTGGTCCTGTTATCTAAGGAGGTATATACTGGCATTGGAGGCAGTCCAAAGAAGGTTCACTAGGCTGATACCAGATATGGAGGGACTGTTCTATGAGGAGAGATTGAATAGGTTGGGCCTGTGCTCATTGCAGTTTAGAAGAGTGAGACGTAACCTTATACCAACATATAAGATTCTCAGAAGCTTGACAAGGTAGATGCTGAGAGACTGTCTCCCCTTGTGGAGATTCTTAGAACCAAAAGGCATAATTTCAGAGTAAAGGATCACATAGTTAAGACAGTAACAAGGAGGAATTTCTTCCTGATGGAGGAGAGTGAAACTCTGGAATTCTTTTCCACAGAGAGCTGTCAAGGCTGGGTCATTAGGATATTTAAAGCTGACATAGATTTTTAATCATTAGAGGTTTATGGGGAAAAGGCAGGAAAGTGGAGATGAGGATTATCAGATCAGATATGATCTCATTGAATGACCAGGCAGTCTCGATGGACTGAATGGCCTACTTCTGCTGGCATGTTTTATGCTCTTATGGGCTCAGGTTGCCAACTCTGGTTATATGGATTCGTAGAGGTTTCATCACAGAGCAGCTGCCTTTTGCCACCCCCTCCTTCCAAACTGCCTCCCTCCACCCGCCTCCCACCCCACCCCTGCTTCTCCAAGACTCTAGCAACAAACAAATGAAGTATTCAAGGTAAAACTTAAAGAAGAAGCACACAATTGTTTTTATGCCTCTGTATGACTTTTATTCCTGGGTGTTTGCTTGTTGTATCATATTGATTCTTCAGTTCCTGGAGATTCCATGCTATCCTGGACGGTTTGAAAAGATGTCTCTATGGACAGTCATTAAAAGCTGCAATGATGAATCTGTTTATTCCTCTTCACACCAGTGCAATGTTTACCAATTTGTATTGCTGTTCATTTTTACTTTTATTTAGCTAAAGAATGTAATGATTATATATGTTACAGGGAACTGGACCCGTTGCTAAGCAACAGGCCAAATCCAACAAGGCTGGAAACTGGGTTTGGAGCCATCAAAAGCAACAGAACGGGAATGCATGCTGAAGGTAAGAAATGTGTGAGGGTTTGAAAGATGCAATTTGATAGTAACTGCAGTCTGACGTTTTTCTGGGTTTATTGCTGAGCTCATGGCTGAACATCTTTTGTCTCATAGGATGATTGCTTGCATTGGTCAATGCATGTCAGACATTGTCTGGTGCAGTTCAGAAACTCACTCTGACCTGGTTGTTTCTGCCCTTTTGTTTTTGGAGGGTGAGATCCTGGGCTGCAATGGTTTGCAATTTGCTGGTCTCCATTTCCCTTCAGCCGTGTTTTCTATCCATTTGAACTGTCCTGTGCCTATGGTTGTGACGTTTCAGCCCACCAATCGAAGAGTTGGCATTTTTCTTGTTTGTTTGCCTGGGGTGATGGATTCCATTCACCTATTGAGCAGACACTTGAAGGATGCCCATTCATGCAGATGCAATGTGGCATCTTGGGGAGGGTGGGGGGGTCGGGTAGGGCTGCCTGGCTTGAGGTGAGCTGTGGCTAACCAATGGGACACGATGGTCCGTCCTAACCAGACAGCCAGACGGTAGCATCCATTCTCTTCATCAGACGAGTTGGGCTTATCACTTAGAATCATAGAATCCGTACAGTGTGAGAAAAGGCCATTCAGGTCTGTACCGACCTGCCAAAGAGCATCCCACCCAGGTCCAGCCCCAGCCCCCCATCCTATCCCTGTAACCCCATACTTCCCATGGCTAATCCAGCTTGTCTGCACATCCCTAGACACTGCAGGGCAATTGAGCACAGCCAATCGACCTAACCTGTACCTCTTTGGACTCTGGCAGGAAGCCCATACAGATACAGGGAGAATGTGCAAACTCCACACATACAGCCACCCAAAGCTGGAATCAAACCCGGCTCCCTGGTATTGTGAGGCAACAGTGCTAACCACTGAGCCACCATGCCACACTTAAAACCATCCTCCCAATGTTGTGCTAACACTGTGCAGCCACACTGCAGTATCCTGTCCAGATTGCAAAGCTGGGCAAAAGCTGTGAAGAACATGATCTGCCCATACGTCAAGATTCCCCTTTCAGCCTAGGTTAGGTCTAAAGGAATACAAAGCCCAATGTTTGGCACTGGCATGGTTTCAGGAGTTGCTGGAAAGATATTTAAACACTGGTTCACCTTAGGGCTCCACTCCAGATTTTATGTCAGAATTTACTCACTTAGCCTTCAGCTCTCATGAATTATCCACAAGACATCAAAGCCTTTTGGCCATTCACTGGGAGTTTGGTTCTTGTGTGGCTAGACATGTCCATGTGTGCACCTTTACAATTCATGGGAATTATCGCATTCCTTCCCCAAAATCTCGTTCTGTAGCTCAATTTTTTCATTTATTTCAGGGCATACTTCACATCATTTAATGGGAAGAAATCTCCTGAGATATGCTGTTCCCTGTAGTGTACGCAGGGTCTGCTGTGTGGAGTCTGCTGTTTTCAATAAGACCAGTTTTGCTTGAAAATTTTTCAACATTTAATTCATCCGGCCCACAGTTGGTTAAAATCATGCAACCAGCGCAAAATGCTGGAGAAACTCAGCAGGACTGGCAGAGTCTGTAGAGATACAGAGTTAATGCTTTAAGTCCAACTTGACTCTTCCGCAGAACCTGTTGAGTTTCTCCAGCTTCCTCCATGTTTGTTCCAGATTTCCAGCATCCTCAGCACTTTGCTTTTATTTGAGAGTATAAACTATGCAATTTGATAAAATTAGGTTGCAGGAAAATATTCATTAAAGCATGATGATTATAGGTTAAATGAAAATAAAAACAGAAATTGCTGGAAAAACTCAGCAGCATTTGTGGAAAAAGAAACAAAGTTAATAGTTCAGTCTAGTTTTCTTCAGAACAAGTGTGATTAAATTAACCCATCTCTAAACATTCAACCTATGCATGTACGCTGTGTGCCACGGGGTGGAATATGCTTCAGTAGTATCACCCTTTGCAAGTTTTTGGTCATAGATTCATAGAGATGTATAGTACAGACAAAAGCCCTTTGGCCCATCATGTCCATGCTGGTCAAAAGCCATCACCTGACTATTCTAATGCCAGGTAATAAAGGTAAAGTTGCCATAGTCTTATTGGACCATTGGGTTACTGTCTCAGTAGAGAGGGATGACTAGTTGGTGGTTTAACCTGAGAGTCGCTACACCTCAGGCCAGGGGAGAGGTTGAAAAGGAATGCCCTTCACAGTAACCTGAGCTGGGGTGGGAATTGAACCCTCAGTGTGGGTGTTACTCTGCATGGCAAACCAGCTGTCCAACAACTGACATGTAGATTCATGAAGCAAGCAGCATTTTTGTGGCATTCACAATCACTGAGCCCAGCCTTTGCATTATCCCAGCTGCAACACAGTCTAACCTGGCTGTTGGACACACACATGTGCAGCATGTCACTCTTGTCTGTTTAAATGTACAGGGTGTGGGGGAGACCTCTCTGATTAAGGAGTATTTAACATCTAACACCAATAATTAATTCAAAGTTTTTTTGGGACATTTCTGTCACCAGTCTGACTGTGTGGGAACTGGAGTACTGAATCTCAGTGATTCTGGCACTAGAGTGGAGCTGTGTGAGAAGAGGTTAGGGACTCTGGGTTGAAAATCCAGTCTGCCTCTCCTATTTGGCAACCTGACCCACAGGTCACAAGCTGTGGTTGCAGGTTTATTGATCTTCCGAAGGGGGAGGTGAAGTGGGTGGAGACTGGCTGGTGTGTTGTCTGGACTTTGCACATTCCAGGCTTCAGGGGGGTGTGGACTGGCAGAAGGAACTACTATTGGGAGGAAGTAATGTTCGCTGAAAAGTGCTGGAACGCAGTTTGTAGACCGAAGCATGCTCCATTCGCTCTCCCATCTGCCAGTCAAACGCTAGACGCCTGAAGCCGCCGGAAGATTATAGAGAGTGGGTTTTACTGAGACAGGGAGAGAAACTTGACTGACAGTACCCCCTCTGAGCAGACTGTACACTTTGCTGACTAAACTTTAACCGAGGATGCACATTGTTTGCAGCAATCCAGATGTAAACACCAACAAAAAAACACTTTTTTTGATTGGGAAGAGAGAAAGTTAGAGCACAGCAACCTGTGGAACCGAGGACTCCAATAGGTCAGTACACTGGCCGGGAAAGGGCCATTCTGCTTAGTATTACACGGACACTTTCTTTACTAGAGGCAAAAGGAAACGGTCAATTCTTAAAGTCGAGAGCGTCACTTGTTTCTGTGTGTATGTTCCATTCTGTTTATGCGATGTCACACCAATCTGCAGGAATCTGTAAGACAGTTCATGAAATATGATGTATTTTTGTGAATAGGGTCCGTGTTGAAACCTTGTGCAGCTTCAGTACTTGCAGAAACTTCTGCATGAGTGCTGAGTAGTTTCTGATCTGGGCTCCCGGTCTCTCTCTCATTTAAACACACACTTGTAGACTCTCACTTTTTACCAGACACGCACAGATACACTCTTACAAACACACACAAACACACACACACACCCGCATTCCGCCTAACCCTCATTCATCACTCTCATACTCTCAATCATTCATGTATACGCACAACGCTCATTCTCACACACACAGTCAGATTCATACACACACTCATATACTCATTCATTCACATGCTCTCACACACGGTCATAACACTCATTTTCACGCACTTATTCACATTCACACACTCTAACACTCATTCACACACATGCACTCACTCTTTCACACAAACACGCGTACATATTGTCTGTCTCACACTCGCTCTCACACACACTTGCTGTCTTACAGTCTCTCCCTCATCCGCTGTCTCTCACTCTCACACATTCACTCTCTCTCCCTCTGTCTCACTCGCTCGCTCTCTCTCTCTCCCTCAGCCTCTCTCTCTCATACACACTCTCTCACTCTCTCTCATACACACTCTCTCACTCTCTCTCAT